GCCTACACAGCCTTCAGGCACTAGGCGACGCAGTGCACCTGACCCTTACACTCCAAGCACCGACGCTCTTGGTCACAAGGGTAAGGGTAAGACTAGGAGACAGTGAGGGTTTGTGGTAGATGTTATTATGGACTTTCATTATGAACTATTGTGGACTGTATGGACTATTATTATCGAATATGAACTACTATGAACTATAGTTATGGACTATGTGGAGTATTAATATGCTCATGTATATGGTTTTAGATGAACGTGTTATATATTTGTATGTTTATACATGTTATATTGAGGTTAAATATTCATTTCATATTTGTGTATGGATGGCATAAAAAATAGGAGAAATTATGACGAAATTTCTGCCTAAAGTATGTATTAATCTGCGGCATCAGTTTTTCTGGTTTAAAATAGTGATTGAGGTCTGAAATCGAATAGACTTTTCAGTCGTAAAATCTAGGGGAAATAGCCTTTATAGTGATTTGTCATGTCATCGTCGAATACACTTTTCAGTGTCATTCGAAATAGTGATTGAAGTCTGAAATCGAATAGGCTTTTCAGTCGTAGAATCTAGGCTCTCTAGTGTCCTACGATGTAGGCTTTTCAGTGATTCTGAGTAGACTTTTCAGGGGCATTTACAGCATAATACAACGGCTAGCAAACCTACCTCCACCTATATATATGCGTTCTAGGATGCATTGCTAACCAAAAGGAAAACCAAACTAGTATTCAGTTTCGTTGTAGTAGGAATGTCTAGAGGATCATCTAGAGGAAAGGGTTTCGGGAGTGGGAGAGGAAAGGTGGGGATGAAGGAAACTGCCATTGTGTGGGAGAGGTCTCTCGAGCCTGATTTTTTTGAGGAACCAGTGTATCAGTTTCTCCCTAGAGCAAGAGTGATTTTACTAAAGAGTGTCCTCTCAGAGGATACGTTAACAGGATGGAAGATTGGCCAAAATACATGCATGGTAAGGCTGGGCATGACCAAGGATGCGACGTGGAACCACAGCACGCGCCGAACGCAAAACTGCTCGCTTCTCGGTCCTTGGATGCAGCGCCGAAATCATTTCCCACCGGAGAAACGATTTCTTCTCTCTTCATTAAACAGAATGCCATATCAACTCTTTTCGATCATAGTATTTATTGCCATGAAAACCATCTCTAGTTTTAGGTTGGTTTTGCCATGCTTGTGGTACTACTAGGACGAATAGCTTGCTTCGCGGGGGTGTTGAGCTTGTAATATGTCCGTGTTAGTGCTGATATAAAATCGATAATGCTCTGAATCGGGCATATGCTCCTCCACTCATTCCTATTCACTTGTTCCTCTTTTTATCGCTCTTATCCGCTCGCCTGCTGCCTTCGAGCGTATGGCCGCTGCCCCTACCAGGCGCTGCGCTAGGCCGCCTCGGAGGCGCAGCGCTCGGCCGCGTGGCTGCCCTCTCCAAGTCACGCGGCAGTGGCCTCCCCGCCGCTCATGCTTCCGATACCTCCCTTCCGCGACATGCAGCCACTGCCATCGGCCTGCCACCTACAAGCGCCGCGCGTGCCGCTGCTTCCGGTGAATACCACACACCAACGAGCCTCCGTTCTACCGAACAACAAGGAGATGTTGCGTTGAAAATGTATGTTGCAAAAATATGTTTCAATTATTTTAGATGTTTCAGAGGTATGTTGCAAGTGTTTCGTATGGATGTTGCAAAAATAGGGATGTTGCACATGTTGCAATGGTTGTACACGTATGTTGCAAGCGTCCGTTCCAAATATTTTATCTGTTTTTTCAGACGTATGATGTAAGTGTGCTTATTTGGGTGTTGCATATATTTCACACATATGTTGTAAGTTTTATCTGGATGTTTTATACGTTTTGCAATGGCTTTTTCAAGTGTTTTCATGTGTTTCAGACGCATGTTTTAAGTGTTTCATCTGTCTTCAGAAGCATGTTGCAAATGGTTCGTCTGGATGTTTCAAAAGTAGATCAGGTGTTGTTGCTGGAGACCCACCTGCCACAGCTGCTAGGGCGCCACCGACTGGGCAAAGACGTCCGGGCGGAGGAAGCGGAAGGGGCGCGAGCGGGCGGTCGGACAGTGCGGGCCCCACGTGGGCGCGCAAAATAAAGTGTATACGCGGGCGTCCGGACGGTAGCACTGTGGATATAAATTTGAATTGGAACGCTTAGGATGGGTTGATTTGGGCAATTAGTACCGACGAAAACTAGGCCATACGGGGCTGTGGATATGCATCCCTATGGGAGAAAGTAAAATTCCTATGTATGGGTTGTTTGATATATTGCTCTGCACTTTGTATATAAATTCCTATTGTTTTTAACATACATACACCTGCTCACATATATTTTGCTATTCACAGAATCGCAAGTGCCAATGAGAGAATTTGATAGGCTAGACCAAGATCTTAAATTTGACAAATTAATTCACCATATATTCACCTTCGACGACGGACATATCATCCTGGGAAGAAGAAAAATTTATAGTTTATTAAAAAGATGCTAGTGTGCTGCTAGATCACGTTTTGTACTGGAGACTTTTCCCTGTGTGCCATTATAAAAGATCGTAATTCTCTGTGTGCCCCTGAAAAAATTCAGCGGTCTTCAGCGCCACTACTCCAACTTTTTCGGGTCCTCCATAACCACTTCCGTCGATTCGAGGCTCTAAAAAAGCATGAAGTGAAAAATGCATGCCCATAAGTTCAAATATGTTATTAATTTTTTTCATTTCTTAACGACTTCAAATGAAAAAACTCAAAACTAGAAAGTTGTAGATCTCGTCGAGATCTATAATTTTCATACAAAAATTATTTTCATTTAATTCCGCAAAAAAAAATATGATTTGATATGATTAATATATCTTAGAAAAATCATCATATTTTTTTTGCGGAATTAAATGAAAATAATTTTTATATGAAAATTATAGATCTCGACGAGATCTACAACTTTCTAGTTTTGAGTTTTTTCATTTGAAGTCATTAAGATGCTCAAAAAAAATTAATAACATATTTGAACTTAAGGGCATTTTCGTCTTTTCACACCTGTAGTTTGACGGCGTTAGAGCCTGAACTGACGGAAGTGGCATGGAGGACCCGAAAAAGTTGAAGCAGTGACGCTGAAGACCGCTGAATTTTTTTAAGGATACAAAGGGGATTACGATCTTTTATAATGGCACACAGGGAAAAGTCTCTTTGTACTGCCCCGCTATGGATCTTTAGTCGAGGCCGATTTAGCATCTTGAGAGTTTTGTCTAGGCAAGTCAAAACTGGCACTCAGTGTCCAACATGCACAGGGACATGCACTGATGCACATGCCCCCCTCCATCCCAAAATACATGACGTTTTTATTTTTAGCATCTTATTTAACTCTTCGTCTTATTCAAAAAAATTGTATAAATAAATATTATTTATTTTGCTATGACTTATTTTATCATTAGAGATGCTTTAATAATGACTCATTTATTTTATTATTTATATTGGAAAACTAAATAAGACAAATGGTCAAACATGATATCTAAAAAGCAAAAGCATCATCTATTTTGGTACGGAGGAAGTATAGTGTCACTACAGGGTTCGTGCATGTCAATCTTTTTAAATTTGACTAGATTTATATAAAATATTAACAATATTTATATTTCTAGATAAGTTTATTATAAAGATATATTCAGTGATTTATCTCATTATACTAATTATACACTATAAACATTAATATTTTCCTTACACATGTTTGGTCAAAGTTAAAAATGTTGACTTCTCGAAAAATAATTCATATAACTTTTAAGAAGAGAAATTATTTCCTACACTATACTTCCCTCATGTGAATAGGAATCTATCCTATCAGCCAAACGGTCTCATGAAGTAATTCTGACTTGTCACTTGAAACGTTTCTTTAGAAAATCCGAATCCTTACCAAACGCACCCTTAGTAGAGAAGGGCTTGGTTTTAACTTTTAACCGACCTTCTCGTATATGATTGGATATGTGTTGGGGCACCTACATATCATAGTAAGGGTCCAACTCCATAGATTGCTTTCTATTTCCTGCTAGTAAATCATGCAAACCCTAGTTCGTCACATTTGCAGTTGGGGACTCTGGCAGAGTGATGTTGAAGGTGAATTAGAGCATTTGAACCTAGAAACTATGAGACAATTTCTCTACTTGTAGACACTACATATAGAAACCATATTTTCCATGGATGGTTTCTTCAAAATAAATTTATCCAATCACGTTCATCTCTTTCTTATCATCTACCTATCACATCTCTTTATATCTTAGTTTCTGTATAGACATAATTTCTTATTTAAATCATTTCCTTCTCTCTACATTAATTACGGTGTCATGTTATCATTTTGATTAGTTGATACCCTAATTAACGAACATAGAAACTGCCAAGTTTTTAGGTCGAGATTGCCCATATAGAGGCAAATTTTAACTACAACATTCATAAAGAGGTGAGTTGACCGTGGTGTCTGCAGAGATTGCTTCGCAGCCATAGCCAAGTACCTTCATGAGGTACATGGTTTCCATGTCCTTTACTATGTTCTAGTGCGCTGCTCTGGTTACTGCCGAGGTTTGTGCCTTTGTGGAAAACGCCAACAAAGGCTGCATCTTTCTTCAAAACAATCTGCAGGTTAACTGCCTTCGATCAACAACTAGTCTATGCTTGTCTCTTGTTCCTGATTCATCGTCTCACCTGATTAATCTGCAGGTTAAAATGCTTGACAAAAGTAACAACAGAGGCGGGCGTTCCCCACATGCTCCCATGAGGCGTCGTCTCAACAAATACGCCTTCGCCGCTGCCATGCTTTCGTCGGCCACGCCCACGCCTCTCTTGTTGGGCTACGGTGAGCCAGCGCTATAGAAAGAGTCAGAATGAATTTATGGATTTTGATCTGATTACTTCTAATTGAAACACATGGCCACATAACAACTAATCAGTGAATTTAATCTGCTTCCGCTATCTCATTTTATTTTGATTCAGACCTCGCCGTCGTTTACAACACGGTCGTCATGGCGCAGGAAGACCTGAAGCTCGTGGCGTGCACCGTCGCGCTTTCCTCTCTCCTCGGCGTGATCGCTGCCGTGGGAGCGCAACGCCTCATCGGAGACCGACGGACCGTGCTCCTCTCCGCCGCCGTGCTCTGCGCCGGCGCGATCGCCCGGGGCCTCGCCACCGGCTTCGCGGCGTTCATGGCCGGCATCTTCGTCAACGGCGTCGGGATCGGCCTGGCGCTCACAGCCGTCCCAACCTGCGCCGCGGAGCTCAGCCCGTCCTCTGCGCGCCGCGTGCTCGCCGTGCACCACGACGGACTCGTGTACCTCGGCTGCATCCTGGGGTCGGTCGTCTACTCCATGGGGTTCTTTAGGATTCCTGCGTACCTCGCGTGGCGGCTGACGGTTGCCATCGGTACGGCCGCTCCGGCGTTGCTCAGCTCCGTCGTCCTCTTCATGCCCGAGACGCCCCGTTGGCTCGTGTCCCGGGACCGGGAAAGCAACCTATTGTCCAGAACATCGGTGACGCTGGAAGTGGCCGAGCTCCGTCTGCTCGAGATCAAAATCGAGTGCGGCAAACCGCACGACGGCTCCGACGAGCCGCTGGCGGCGACCAAGCGAGGCCGGTGGTGGAGGGAGGAGCTTGGGGTGGTGAGAGAGCTCCTGGTGCACCCGACAGAGCCGCTTCGCCGAGCGGTACTCACCGCTCTTGTAGCCAAGGTCTTCCAGAAGGCGTCCGGCATCGGATCCATTCTCCAGTACGTGCAGCAGCGCGTATTCCGCGACGTCGGCGTCTCGTCCAGCCCGCTGGTGGTGGTGGTATTCGGGTCCGTGTTCGTGATGTTCTTCCCCATGTCGCTCGTGCTCGTGGAGCTCGGCTGGCTGCTGGAGAGAGCGCTCGCCCGCGGCTGCCGCCTGAGCAGGCGCACGCAGACAAATGCCGGCAGCGTGACCCGGCGTCAGGAGCAGATGAAGTGGGTGAGGGGCCTGTCCGCGACAATGCTGCTCTCGCTGATGGCGCTGGTGTGGATCGCGCTCGGTCCGGCGCCGTGTCTTTGAGCTTTTGTCACGGACGTTGTTATCGGAAGTCGCTCTCATTCAAAGTTATAAACACAAGGTGACGACAGACGACACAGGATGCGTAGTCTGATGTGTTTTGCGATAAGTTACTTGAAATAACTAGCTCACCAATTTACCAATCTCCATCACCAAATCCTCAACATACCAAAGAGCACAGATGCAGGAACCTAACGTGGTCACTTTAGTCTAGCACTTTAGCTGTGGCGAGTTTGGATCTAAACCAGCCCCAAAGAGTTGAAATGAAGAGCTGTTGTGTCCGATGTCCGTGAGTCTTTCTCAATTCTCACGAACGTTCTTATCAGAGTCGTTATCGGTTCAAAGTTAAAAAACACAATGTGACGACTGCATACTCCCAGGTTTTTACGTGAACAAGAAGGCACATAAGTTACAGCCCATACGAAAACAATCAGTATGGAAATCCTAAACTAAATTATCACGTTGCTGAGATTCCTTGATCACCCATCAAGTGTAAGGATTTTTAATTGACCCCGAAATCTGGTTCAATCGCTAAGTCAATCTATCAATACTTCACAATTTTTCGGAACTTGTTTGCACGCACAAGCTTCCCCACAAATTAAAAAGGGCTCTCCTTTCGGATCTTCTGATATGACCACGTCACAGTTGCTCTGATCTGCCACAACCACTTTGTTTTTTTGGAAGGGTCGATCAGACTTTCCTCTCAGAAATGGAACACTACTACTGCTAATCACTAGACCATCAGTAGTACTACCATTTTCAGATATAGACTGCAGCACTTCAAGCAGAAAGCAAGGAGGTGCCAGCGATGGCTTCGGCGGATCTCCCGGAGGTCGTCGAGCGCACGAAGAAGAGCAGCGTCATGTATGCCTTCATCTGCTCCATCCTTGCCTCCATGGCCTCCATCATCCTTGGCTACGGTACACTGCAGGACTGACGATTCACGTCACTAAATCATCGTTCTTTTGATCTGCAATACATGGGGTCACAATATTTTTCGCACTGTTTAACTTGGAAGATATCGGGGTGATGAGCGGCGCGGCGCTGTACATCAAGAAGGACCTCAAGATCACGGACGTGCAGCTAGAGATCGTGATGGGCATCCTCAATTTCTACTCGCTCATCGGCTCCTTCGCGGCGGGGCGGACGTCCGACTGGATCGGCCGCCGATTCACCGTCGCCGTTGCGGCCGCTTTTTTCTTCGTCGGCGCCTTGCTCATGGGTCTCGCCGGCGACTACGCCACGCTGATGCTTGGCCGCTTCGTGGCCGGCGTCGGCGTGGGCTACGGGCTGATGATCGCGCCGGTGTACACCGCCGAGGTGTCCCCGGCGTCAGCCCGCGGCTTCCTCACCTCCTTCTCCGAAGTGTTTATCAACATCGGGATCCTCCTCGGTTACGTCTCCAACTATGCCTTTGCCCGCCTGCCGCTCCACCTCAGCTGGCGCATCATGCTCGGCATCGGCGCGGTGCCGTCCGTCCTGCTGGCGCTCCTGGTGTTCGGCATGCCCGAGTCCCCACGATGGCTCGTCATGAAGGGCCGCCTCGCGGACGCCAGGGTCGTACTGGACAGAATCGCCGAGACGCCGGAGGAGGCTGCGGAACGCCTGGCCGACATCAAGGCCGCCGCCGGAATCCCGCACGAAGCCGACGGCGACGTGGTTGCCGTGCCCAAGAGGAAAAGCGCCGAGGAGAAGCAGGTCTGGAAGGAGCTGATCCTGTCCCCGACCCCGACCGTGCGGCGCATCCTGCTTGCGACGCTTGGCCTCCAATTCTTCCAGCAGGCTTCAGGCGTTGACTCCGTCGTGCTGTACAGCCCGCGCGTGTTCCAGAGCGCGGGCATCACCGACGACGACCAGCTCCTTGCCACCACCTGCGCCGTCGGCGTCACCAAGACTGTCATCGTGCTGTTGGCCGCGGTCCTCCTCGACCGCGTCGGCAGGCGCCCGCTGATGCTGACCAGCTCCGGCGGCATGGTCGTCTCGCTCATCGGCCTCGCCACAGGGCTCACCGTCGTGGGCCGGCACCCGCACACCGAAGTTCCCTGGGCCGTGGCCCTGTGCGTCACGTCCACTCTGGCCTTCGTGTCGTTCTACTCCATCGGCCTCGGGCCCATGACGGCGGTGTACACCTCGGAGATCTTCCCGCTGCGGGTGCGCGCGCTGGGCTACGCGGTCGGCGTGGCGTGCAACCGCGTGACGAGCGGCGTCGTCTCCATGACCTTCCTGTCGCTGTCCAGCGCCATCACCATCGGCGGCAGCTTCTTTCTCTACGCCGGCATCGTCACTCTCTCGTGCGTGTTCTTCTTCACCTGTCTCCCGGAGACGCGCGGCCGGACGCTGGAGGAGATGGGAGAGCTGTTTGGCACGATTGACGCGGGCACCGAAGCAGATGACGCCTCCGCGAGACTCCTTGCGTCAGAGTTGACCACATGATACTCCTTTTTTGCTTTGGTTTGTCTGCACGTAAGTGTGCAATTATATGTAAAGTGTTCGTGAATGTACTTTATGACTACAGTATATTCAAAAATAGAGTATGGCTTGAACCGTGTTATTTGAGGGTGGGGTGTGGCATGGTCTTTTGCTACGACACAGCACAAAAATATTTTGGTCCTGCTGCGAGATGGATTGCATGGTGTGGCCCATATTTTGGGCCGTGCTTGTCCAACACATCACAAAAATGGCACGTAAGTGTTTGGGCTAAAGCAAAGACTTGTTGTGTTATACCAGCACGGCTCGACATGCATCACATGTCTAGAAGTCACTATCCGAAATGCATGAACCATGATAGGGCCGGCACGGCACAATCCAAGTCCCACCTCTACTCAAAAGGAGGTTCATGGGTCTGCACGAGGCCTGCTATTTCATCCGGCCCAGGCACCAAATGGGTTGATGCTAATCATGCCTATGCCAGCTTGTCCCAATATGATTAATGGCCTGGCTCGATGTGACCCGTTAACCTTCCACCCTATATATGTGGCTTTTACACGTATGCTATTAAAAAAGTTTATAATTACATACAAGCCATTAAAAAAATTGACTGCACACGAGTGCCATCGTTCTGAACTTATTTGCTCTCCAAGCCATTCCGTCAGTGGTCTGTTCGTTTTTCACCGTTACATGTGGGCCCGGTCAGTATAAAGGTCCAAAATACCCTTCTCTCGTCCACACCGCTCGCCAGCGCCAGCCTCGGCGTCCCTAACGAGGCCGGGGCCGAGCTCGCCCGCGGCGGCTGGCCGGGGCCGAGCTCGCCGGTGCGCGTGCAGCACTTGACGCGGTATGCCGTGAGCGCGTGGAGCGGGAGGCGGACTCGAGGTGGTGTGGCCGCGGACCCGAACGCCGGCTTGACGAGGTCGCGGACGACAGGGTCGGCTCCCGGCTTGGTAGGGTGGCGAGGCTTAGCTGTGCAGCCCGTCGCGGCCAGCAGCAGCGGCGTCCACTGCAGGTCGGACTGCTCCTGACCGCGCGGCCCTGGGTGCGGCGAGCGCACGCATGGGCGCACGTGGCTCGGGGAGCACGCGGTTGTGCGGCCATGGCGGCCGGAACTCGCGAGGCGGGGCGCACAGGGCCAGGGTGGCGCTGGAGGTCTCGCGGCCGACGGCCATGGCGGGTAGGGGCGCACGCGGCCATGGCGGCTGGAGCTCGTGGGGCGAGGCGCACGGGGATAGGGCGGCGCTGGAGGTGTCGCGGCCAATGGCGCAGGACGCGTCCGGCGGCGGGCGCGGACGGGTGCTTGTTGGAGCTCGGCCATCGTCAGTCTCGCCCCTAGCCACGCACGGAGCGGAGGTGCCAGTCCGACCACCTCCGGCTGCTGGGGGCGCCCGGGGCAGGAGCAGCGCGTGGCGCAGGAGGTGAAGAGCCCTGCTCGGCGGAGCTCGGTGACCGCCTCGGCGCCGCTGCTCCGCGCGGCCGCCCAGCCTAGCCCTGGCTGCCGCGAGCGTGGGCGCGGGGGAGCTCGGCCCCGGCCGCCGTGAGCACGCGCGGGCAAGCTCGGCCCCGGCCGTCGCGGGTGCGCGCGGGCGAGCTCGGCCCCGGCCGCACACACGAGAAGAGAGATCGAATTTGAGAGAGATAGAGAGAGAGAGAGTTTGAATGGGAGAGAGGATAGGGATGAGAGGGGTATTATGGACGTTTTGACTGACCGGGCCCATATGTAACGGTGAAAAACAAACAGACCACCGACGGAATGGCTTGGAGAGCAAAGAAGTTCAGAACGATGGCACTCGTGTGCGGTCAATTTTTTTAATGGCCTGTGTGTAATTACAAACTTTTTTAATGGCATACATGTAAAAGCCACATATATGTTTTGCTCTTGCCGACCTTTCCTCCCTAAGCATATTGCCATGCTCCCATCCTTGTAGCGGTGCAGGCGCTCCTGCTGTCCTGCATTGCCTCCTTGCTCCTCCTCGGCTATCAATCTCTCTTCTCATCCCTCTCTGTCACTAGGTCTACACTGTCGGTCGTTGCAGCCACTCGTTTTAGCCTTCTTTCCCGTATCCTCTCCTCCCCTGTCTTTTTCTGAAAACCTTCGGTTCCAATCATATATTAGGAAAACCACGAGGCAAAATGACTCGTCGGTGGTGAGCCATGATCTAAACGTCGGATCCCTCCCCCTACACATAGTCTCCCTCTATTCTCGTAGATCCGTGGATCTTGTATATGAATGGTAACTTCGTTGCTACAATTGTGCAAGTAAGCAAAACCCTAGTCCTAACTCTGTCTTCATCTTCTTCTCTGTCTTTAATGAGCAAGCTTAATAATAGAGGCAAATATTTGGCTATTAGCCAAGCTATACAATAGTAGTATCTTATTTATCTATAAAAATTTAACACTTTTATATTGTTATTTTTAGCTATGTCCTATATTCCCTTTTTCTAATCCTCCTCACTTTCACTTAATGTATGAGTCCACAACTGTATATGTTTTTCGTGCCCAGCTTGTTGCATATATGAGTATTTGTTTGGCTATAAGCCAATTCAGTGGCGGACCCAGCTCGTGAGTCGAGCCTAGGCAAATCACAGGGCGTCGATGAGACCATGTGTCTTGAAGCTTGCTACATACGGTGCTACAACAAAAACTCTAGCATGCACAGCTTGGGCAGGTGCCTAGGGTCGCCGGACCTGGGTCCACCAATAAGCCAATTATTATACTGCTCTAACTCATCTAGCGTTAACTAGCTAGTTGGTAAATATTAAGTTAAAAATTTTGACTAGTCTATTTATTAGGCCTCTTTTGAATAGGCTAGGACTAAAAATTAATTGGTTAACTATTACCCCTATACATTCAAAAACGCATGGTCATAGCAGACAAGCAGGCATTCATGTCCGTATACTCCCTGTGACTGCTGCAATGGACGGATTGTGGTCGATGTTAATAAATATGAGAAGGCAAGTTTGGGTTTATTGTGGTCGATGTTAATAAATTTTAGATTTGCCATGTGCGCGCTCATTTTTAAAAGAAAGATGTCACTATTTATTTAGTGATAAATGGTTGCCTGGTGGGTACGCCGATGCGCTTGCGTATACATTTCGTGAAACAAATTATCGTGAAAATAAACTTCGCGGTCCAAGGCCACGTCCCGGTTGACCAGAATAGGGCCCAATGATCACAAGTTCTACCAGACCCATTTCTCGTTGTCCATATATACGGCGTTTCCTTCAACACAACACTTCACTAAACCACTGCACACCACCTTGTGTCCTTGTCTCTAATCGCTAATCAGAGACCACTGTTAATGATGGCTTCCGCCGAGCCCAGGAAGAAGAGCAACGTCAAGTATGCCTCCATGTGTGCCATCCTCGCCTCCATGGCCGTCATCATCGTTGGATATGGTACCCATGCATACGGCCCATATCTTTCGTTGTTTCCATTTTGCTTTCTATGAGTTTTGTAGGTGAAGTTTGTGTATGTGTATCCAACTATTTGCAGACATTGGGGTGATGAGTGGAGCAGCAATATACATCAAGAAGGACCTGAAGATCACGGACGTGCAGCTGGAGATAGTGATGGGCATCTTGAACATTTACTCGCTCATCGGGGCCTTTGCGGCAGGGCGGACGTCCGACTGGATTGGGCGCCGCTTCACTGTGGTCTTCGCCGCTTCCATCTTCTTCGCCGGCTCGCTGCTCATGGGTTTCGCCGTCAACTACGCCATGCTCATGGCGGGCCGGTTCGTGGCTGGCGTCGGGGTGGGCTACGCGATCATGATCGCGCCCGTTTACACCGCCGAGATCTCGCCGGCGGCAGTCCGCGGCTTCCTGACGTCCTTCCCGGAAGTGTTCATCAACTTCGGTATCCTGCTCGGCTACGTGTCGAACTTCGCGTTCGCTCGCCTTCCCCTCTACCTCGGCTGGCGCGTCATGCTCGGCATCGGCGCGGCGCCGTCCGCCCTGCTTGGTCTCATGGTGTTCGTCATGCCCGAATCACCTAGGTGGCTCGTCATGAAGGGCCGCCTCGCGGACGCCAGAGCGGTGCTGGAGAAGACCACTGAGACGCCAGAGGAGGCCGCGGAACGCCTAGCCGACATCAAGGCTGCGGCGGGGATTCCCAAGGACCTCGACGGAGACGTGGTCACCGTTCCCAAGGAGCGAAACGGTGGTGAGAAGCAGGTGTGGAAGGAGCTCATCGTATCCCCAACCCCGGCCATCCGACGCATACTGCTCTCGGCCGTCGGCCTCCACTTCTTCCAGCAGGCTTCTGGCATCGACTCCGTCGTCCTGTACAGCCCGCGCGTGTTCAAGAGCACGGGAATCACCGACGACAACAAGCTCCTGGGCACCACCTGCGCGGTGGGCGTCACCAAGACGCTCTTCATCCTGGTGGCCACGTTCCTGCTCGACAGAGTCGGCCGGCGGCCGCTCCTACTGAGCAGCGTGGGCGGCATGATCATCTCGCTCGTCGGCCTCGGGACGGGCCTCACCGTCGTGGGGCACCACCCGGACGCCAAGATCCCGTGGGCCGTCGCCCTGTGCATCCTGTCCGTCCTGGCCTACGTGTCGTTCTTCTCGATAGGGCTCGGGCCCATGGGGTCGGTTTACCCCTCGGAGATCTTCCCGCTGCGGGTGCGCGCGCTGGGCTTCGCGGTCGGCGTGGCCAGTAACCGCGTTACCAGCGGCGTCATCTCCATGACCTTCCTGTCCCTCTCCAAGGCCATCACCATCGGCGGCAGCTTCTTCCTCTACGCTGGAATCGCGGCGCTCGGGTGGGTCTTCTTCTTCACCTACCTCCCGGAGACTCGAGGTCAGACGTTGGAGGAAATGGGCAAGCTGTTCGGCATGGAAGACACGGACATGGCTGAAACAGAAAACACCGCTGCCAAGGAGAAAGTAGTGGAAATGCCCACGAGCTAGAAGGAAACCAAGAAACAGCTTCCGCAGCTTCAGTCTCACAGAGCCGAGCTATTCACCTCTCAGGTGCCGTGCTGCTGCAGCCTGCACGTAGGACAGTCCGACGGTGACGGCGAGGCCCAACCCGAGGACTCTTGTGCATGGTTTGATGGTTACAAGAACTTTCTTAATTCTTCTGCTCTTCTGTTTGTCCTGTTCGTCGTGTACTCGTTTATGTGGAGCGCGCGATGGTGTGAATTATTGGTGTCAGTGTCGCGTGTGCTTTACAGACTGTTTGGCGTAGCTCCACGCAGCTTCAGATTCTGAAAAACAGCTTCGCTCTAGATTTTTTCAGCCAGACGGTGTTAGCTCCAGCAATTCCGACACAGATCTAGCCCCAGATCCATAGATTTCGTGGAACATCTAAGGGTGCTCCACCAAATCCAAGTTTCGTGGAGTTGAGTGAAATTACCCACCGCTACCACGGGTAAGTGGAAAATGATAGGTTCATTCTTTTTTTTTTCTTCTCTTTCTCCTGTCGCGAGTCTTCTTCACCACGAGTTCGCGACCGGCCACCGCTGGCTGGTGGTGTGGCCGAGCCCCCCTCCAGCGAGGTCGCGCTCGCCCGCCTAAGCCCCGCCCTCGCCACCCGCCGGCGAGGACGCGCTCGTCGCTGGAGCCCCTCCGGACACCCCCTGGTCGACCGCCGCCAAGGCCGCAGGAAAACCCCAGCCCTAGCCGCGGTGCCGAGTACCGAGCGCCTGCCACGCCCCCTGGCCGACCACCGCACCCGAGCCCTGGCTGGCCGCGCCCGCTCCCCGATGTAGCGACCCGGCGAGGCCTCACCCGGCCGCCGGTGAGGGCGTGTTGGTGAGGCCACCCGCCCGCTGGCGAGGCCGTGATCGGCCACAGCCAGCCAGCGCGCAGTGGCCGATCACGAACTCGAGGTGAAGAAGACTCGCGACGGGAGAAAGAAAAGAAAAAAAATAGAATGAACCAGTCATTTTTCACTTACCAGTGGCAGCGGTGGGTAATTTCACTCAACTCCACGAAACTTGGATTTGGTAGAGCATCCCTTGAGGTGCTCCACGAAATCTATGGATTTGGGGGTTGATCCACTGTTTTTGTGGAGCAGATCTGTGTCGGAGTTGCTGGAGCTGAAACCGTTTGGCTGGAAAAAAAAATCAGAGCCAAACTATTCTTTAGAATCTGAAGCTGCGTGGAGCTACGCTAAACAGGCTGTAAAGCACACGCGATACTGACAAGAATAATTCAGACCATCGCGCGCTCCACATAAACGAGCACACGACGAACAGGACAAACAGAAGAGCAGAAGAATTAAGAAAGTTCTTGTAACCATCAAACCATGCACAAGAGTCCTCGGGTTGGGCCTCGCCGTCACCGTCGGACTGTCCTACGTGCAGGCTGCAGCAGCACGGCACCTGAGAGGTGAATAGCTCCGCTCTGTGAGACTGAAGCTGCGGAAGCTGTTTCTTGGTTTCCTTCTGCGGAAGCTGTTTCTTGGTTTCCTTCTAGCTCGTGGGCATTTCCACTACTTTCTCCTTGGCAGCGGTGTTTTCTGTTTCAGCCATGTCCGTGTCTTCCATGCCGAACAGCTTGCCCATTTCCTCCAACGTCTGACCTCGAGTCTCCGGGAGGTAGGTGAAGAAGAAGACCCACCCGAGCGCCGCGATTCCAGCGTAGAGGAAGAAGGTGCCGCCGATGGTGATGGCCTTCGACAGAGACAGGAAGGTCATGGAGACGACGCCGCTGGTAAGGCGGTTGGACGCCACGCCGACCGCGAAGCCCAGCGCGCCCACCTGCAGCGGGAAAGTCTCCGAGGTGTACACGCCCGTGATTGGGCCGAGGTCGACAGAGAAGAAGGCGACGTAGGCCAAGGTGGAGGCGATGCACAGGGCGACGGCCCACGGGATCTTCGACTCAGGGTGGTGGCCCACTACGGTGAGGCCCGTTCCGAGGCCGATGAGCGAGGCCATCATCCCGCCTGCGCTGCACAGCAGCAGAGGCCGCCGGCCGACGCGGTCCAGCAGGAACGTGGCCACCAGGATGAAGAGCGTCTTGCTGGCGCCCACGGCGCAGGTGGGGCCCAGGAGCTGGTCGTCGCCGGTGATGCCTGCGCTCTTGAACACGCGTGGGCTGTAAAGGACGACGCAGTCGCTGCCCGATGCCTGCTGGAAGAAGTGGATGCCGAGTGCCGAGAGGATACGACAAGTTCCTTCCAGACATGCGTCTCCTTGCTGTTTCGATCCGTCGTAGGCACGGTCACCACGTCTCCGTCAAGGTCCCTCAGGATGCCCGCCGCCGCCTTGATGTCAGCTATGCGCTCCGCGGCCTCCTCTGGCGTGGCAGAGGTCTTCTCCAGCACAGCCCTGGCGTCCGCGAGTCGGCCATTCTTGACGAGCCACCGAGGCGACTCAGGCATGACGAACACCATAAGCGCGAGCAGGAGCGACGGCGCCGCCCCGATGCCGAGCATGACGCGCCAGCCGAGGTAGAGCGGGAGGCGCGCGAACGCGTAGTTGGAAAGGTAGCCGAGGAGGATGCCCAGGTTGATGAAGAAATCCGGGAAAGACGTCAGGAGGCCGCGGGACGCCGCGGGAGAGATCTCGGCGGCGTAGACAGGCGCGATCATGATCGCGTAGCCCACCCCGACGCCGGCCACGAAGCGGCCGGCCATGAGCATGGCGTAGCTGACCGCGAAGCCCATGAGCAACGCGCCCACGAAGAAGATGGCGGCCGCGAACACGACGGTGAATCGGCGGCCGATCCAGTCGGACGTTCGCCCGGCCGCGAAGGCTCCTATGAGCGAGTAGAGGTTCATGATGCCCATCAGGATCTCTAGCTGCACGTCCGTGATCTTCAGGTCCTTTTTTATGTACAAGGACGCTCCGCTCATCACCCCAATGTCTGCAGAGCCAATCGTCGTCACTGACTCACTGTGTGTGTGCAAAAACTCTTGCGAAGCAAATGAACGACAAGGCCAGAAAAGCACTATAGGTACCGTAGCCGAGGATGATGGATGCCATGGAGGCGAGGATGGCGCAGGTGAAAGCGTACGTAACATTGCTCTTGCTCTTGCACTCGACGGCCTCAGGGAAAGCCGCAGAAGCCATCTCGTTTACTGTCACTTGAGTTGATGGCAGCGTTGTTTTGCCGGAGGTACATATATAGAGTTATGGACAGGGTACATGTCATGTACAATGCGTGACTGTACCCCCTTAATTGGAATGCATGTCAATTTGGGTTCAGGGGGCATGCTCTGTCCCGTTGCCGCCTCATTTCAAATCATATTGCATATAGCAAACAGAAGAAACGATTGCACAGATTTTTGCTCCTGTTTGTTCACATTTTTCTGTCAGTTCCCTATATCAGGTATATGGTTACATTTTTCAAAAACAGAATTACGAATATGCAATCTAGTATATGGAACTGACACAAAAATGTGTTTTGGGTATCAGAGTATAATCAGATTGCCACCATGCTAACCTGAACGGTGTGAAATCCTTGGAAGAGTTGCCAGTTGCCCTTTGCCACAGCCTCAATCCTCCAGCCCTCCTACCCTTAACCCCTAGATTGTTCTCGCCAGAGCTAAAGAAGAAGCCCCTTAGCACTAACCACGGATTTGATCCGGCATAGAAAACTGTTGAGGTGAGCTAAACCACTCGAGCACTTGTTGGATATTCCCTTATTAAAAGTTGAAGTATACCGCATAGATACAAGCAAGTTGATATTATTCCTAAATCCTAATGAGTGCATAGCAGCCATGTTCATCCTAGAAAAGACTGGTGGTGGATCTTCTTGTTGGATGATACGCCGAGGTAGTCAAAGCAGACGTCAGATAAGGTCTAACAAAACCATATACCGTACGTACCTATCTGAAGACTTTGTCGTACTTGATTGAATCACCGTGCAGATGCTTGTGATTATTTATCCACATCGTCACATTTAGGGATGAAAACGGTTGGAGAACCCCTAAACCGTTTTCTACATTTACATTTGAATACGAAAACGGTAAAGCCGGACACGAAAACGAACACGAACTTACGGAATATCGAAAACGAACCAATTCGAACAGAATTATGTTGAACACGGTCGGTATACGAAAATTCAATACGGAATACCGACCCGTAGAGTCCATAACAATTAACAAGTGCATGACCCAAACACATAACAATTACCAAGTGCATGATCAAGTTCAAGCTCATATAATAATTAACAAGTGCATAACCCTTGGTCTTAAGTATTAACACAATAGCTGACAGCCTGACACACAAATACAAGTCTAGAGCAAGCAATTAACACTAACAGATAACAAAACATCTACAATCATCAGCATCATTCATGAGCTCAGGATCACTTTCCATGTCTTTTGCTTCCTCATCCCCTCCTTGTCCTTTTCCTACGAGTTTGCAAAGTGAATTCAAATTAGATGTAGCAACTAGCATATTTCAGAGCAAGCAGTCAATAAACATACCTCAATTTTCAGTTTAGCCACAACATTAGCCAAAGCCTCAACCTCAAGATCACTCACAATTGATCCAACCATTTTAGAATCTGAACAAAAAATGAGAAAGGAAAATAATCAATGCATTATTCTACTGCAATTATAAGTGTGTCTAACTAAAAAAAACAACAGATAAAATGAGCACCTTTTCTTGCTGCAGCAACCCAATCCTTTGTGCAAATTAATGACTGTACCATCTCAGGATCAAGACGACTACGATAGGGATCAACAACACGACCAACAGCACTAAAAGTAGACTCGGATGCTACTGTTGATACCTGTATGGCCATTACATCCCGACAGTAACACACATGTATCATTTATTTTAGCATGAGGTTCACATATCCATTGTTGCACTAAAGCGGCACTTGATAGTTTTCAAGTGTTCATACAAAGTTTTCTTTTCTTCAAGATATTTGTCCATTATTTCTTTCCTAACAGTGACACGGGACTTTATTGGAAAGCTAGGACGGAGAGATTTTATGAAATCAACAATATACTCATGCTCGACTATATTGAAAGGATATTCATGCATGGTTATTGCCAAATTCAATTTCTTCAAGCTAGCTTCTGGGTCATATTTGAAAGGTTGAACATGAGCATTTTCACTATCAGGGTTCTTACCAACTTTAAGTTGTTGTTGTCCCTCCACAATACTATGCTTTTACTTCAAATGGTTCTTGAATGTAGTAGTCCCACATACGCCCTCAGCTCTGTACCTCTGATTGCAGTTAGCGAAATTGCAGTATCCCCACAGCTGCTCAAACTGCTTTCCCTCCACCTCTACAACCTCCTTTTTCTTGGTGAAATACTTCCAGACAGACGATGTGCATTTCTTGAACCTCTTGCCAGAAAGGTGAGCCTGCTCTTCATCCTTGTCATCCTGGTCATCATCATCGACACTAATTGGAGTTGTGGTCGCTGGAGTTGTGGTTGTTGCTGGTGCGCCAGCGCCACTGCCACTGCATATGGTGTCAACATTTGGAGCAGAAGAACCCATCACTGATGCTGCTACTGATACTGCTGTAGCTGGACTTTCACAAGTTCCATTAGAGCTAATACTTTGAGATGAAGGCCTTTTACTCCTTGATCCTGCCAAGAGCCAAGTGAAACATTGCTAAATCAGTGCACGCCGGTCCCAAATAATCAAGCAAAAGGTCCCAAATAGCCAAGCTTCATCAATAGCAAAAGCAATAATCAAGCAATTGGTCCCAAATTAGTACCTGCCGCTGGAGAAGCCGTTGCTACCGGTGCCGATGCTGCTGCCGATGCTGCCGACGGCGCTAGAAGGTGGCACACGCTCTTGGTCTTGGACTTGCCCTTGATCTTCGTTCCAGGAGCAGAACCCCCTTTCTCCAGCTCCAGTGGGTGCCATCGATGGCCGGGGTGGCGACGCTGCCTCATGGCTGGGTGGCGGGCTGGGGACTGGGGAGTGGGCTGGGGACGCGGGCGGCCATTGGGGTCAGGTGGAGGCACAACCGTGGAAGAGGAGGCGCGGCCGTCGCGGACTCACGGTCGCGGTCGCTTCGCCCGTCGCCACTCGCGCCGCGCGGCGTGGATAGGGGATACGGAGGGATTGGGGCGCCGACAGGGAGTCAGGGAGGGATAGGGTCCAGGGTGGAGTCAAAGGAGTGGAGGACTGAGGAGATTAGGGTTGTGAAAGCATCTAGGCCCCTAGTTGGGTTTTGGTGATTAATGACAATACGAGATTACTATGACTAACGTGTGTTTTGCAGAGGCAATTAAGTTAGGTCATGGTAATGACAATTGATTGGGCAATCATGGTTGTCATGCCCCTACAATGGAAATCGTTTCGGTTTTCAAAGGATGGACGACAAGGTTAAGGATGGACTAGTTCTAAGTGTCGTTTGGTGTTGAAGAGACACTTAGAGTAGTTTAGAACTTTGTTTTTCCTTTGGCCGTACTATTAAGGGGGGTATGAACTAGTAGCTTCACCTAGGTGAGTCTAGTGGGTTAGGTGTGGTGCACACTTATCAAATCTAGCACTAGGTAGGTCCTAAGTAGCCCTAAGATCAATTAGAGCAAACTTCATTCACATATTATTACGAGTTGGAAGTGAATGGAGGGTCAAATGTTGACCGGACGCTGGTTTCGGTGTGATCGGACGCTGGCGTAGAGTCCGGCCAGTTCATTTGATCAAGGTGAAGTCGTCTGGTTGCGACCGGACGCTGAGTGAAATGTGATCGAATGCTGGGTGCCAGAGTCTGGTCAACTCCAGTAAGGTTCAAGAGAGGGAGAATCCTGATCAGACGCGTTCGGTCAGTGCTGACCGGACGCTAGTCATGTTCCGGCTACTGACCGGACGCTGAGCAGCAAAGTGACCAGACGCTGGGTACCAGAGTCCGGTCAACATCAGTAAGGTTCCAGAGAGCAGTTTTCATGACCGAACGCGTCCGGTCAGTGTTGACCGGACGCTGGTCAGAGTCCGGTCACCACTTAATGGCTCTATGGTGGGGAGAACTGACCGGAGCATCCGGTCACCCCGCAGAGGCACATAACTGTTCGTTTTGAATGAGGGGTTATAAATACTTCCTCTATTCACTCAAGGAAACACTTTTGCCCATTTCAACAGCTGAGAAACACCCTTAAGAGTGCCAAGGAGAGCAAGAGCCTAGTGAGGTGATTGATATTTGAGAATCCAAGATTAAGGCCTCATTCACAAAAAGAGAGTAGCAAGTGTGCATCCACCCTTCTCATTTGGCTTGTTGTGGTCAAGTAAGAGTTCTTGCTTGTTACTCTTGATGATCATCATCACCTAGACAGCTTGGTGGTGATTGAGAGTTTGGTGATCATCCGACGGAGCTTGTGGATGACCTAACTCAAGTTGTGAGTGGTTGTGGGTGATTCACCGCGACGAAGTGTCGAAGAATCAACCCATAGAAAGCACTTGATCCTTGCACGAATCAAGAGGGAGCTACACCCTTACGCGGGTGCTCCAATGAAGACTAGTGGGGAGTGGCGACTCTCTGATACCTCGGCAAAACATCGCCGCGTTCCTTCTCTCTTTACTTTAAGCATTTACATTTGAGCAATTCAATTCTTGTCTTTACATTCTTAGAATTGCCATGCTAGAGTAGGATTGGAACTTAGGGTGCTAAACTTTTGTACGGTAGATCAATAGAATCACTTTCTAGGCACAAGGGGTGAAGTGGGCTAAGTGTAGGGTTTATTCATTGCAAAAATTTTAGAATTAGCCCAATTCACCTCCCCTCTTGGGCATCTTGATCCTTTCAATTGGTATCAGAGCCTCGTGCTCACGTATTTAGGCTTAACCGCCTAGAAAAAGATGTCTCACAGGGATGGACCTTCTCCTATCTTTGAGGAAGATAATTTCCTTATTGAAAAATCCACATGGAGGCGTATTTAGAAGCTCTAGATATTGAAATTCTTAGAGCCGCCTCTCAAGGTTTCCCAAAATCTAAGGATCCCACACACCTTCAAGGCGATGAAGTGAATTACAAAAAATAGAATGCAAAGGCTAGAAACACCATCTTTAGAGGCCTTTGCAAAGATGTGTTTAACCGGGTGAGGAACCACAAGGATGCCCATGCACTATGGTCGAACATTTATGCGCTCCATGAGGGAATAAAGAGTGAGCGTGAGGAACACCATCATCTCGTCATGGAAAAGCTTAATTCTTTTGAGATGCTTCCTAAAGAAAGTGCAAATGAAATGTACTCACGCTTAAATGTTCTTATAGAGGAAGTCAATGGGCTTAGACTTACGCAAATGCAACCATCCGATGTTGTAAGGAAGATCTTGAGTGTCATCCCCATTAACAAATGTGGGCATATTATGACCGTGCTTCATCAAGGCGATCTTTCCACATCTACACCAACTCAAATCTTGAGAAAGATCAACGCTTATGAGATGTACATACAAATCACACTACAAGATGGCTCATCCTCTAACAAGAAGAAAGACAAGGACTTGGCATTCAAGGCTAGCCAAGAGAAGGGCAAAGTAAGAATTAAGTATGAGAGCTCAAGTGATGAAGAAATTGATGATGCAAGTGTTGCTCTCATGGTGAGAAGAACCGCCAAGATGCTAAAGAAGCTCAACAAGAACGGCGCCAAGTTTGATGGCAAGAAAAAGAAGTTCTTCACTAGCACTAGAAGGAAGCCAATCTCCAAGATGGATTGCTATAATTGTGGAGAACTTGGTCATCTAGCACATCAATGCCCCAAACCAAAGAAAGACAAGTATAAGAAGAAGTACAAGGGCAAGAAAGATGACTCAAGTGATGAAGATAATGATGAGAAAAAGAAAAACAAGCCATACAAGAAGAAAGATGGCAAGAAGAAAGACTTCCACAAGAAGAAGAAAAATGGAAAGACATACATCGTCGGTGATTGGCTCACGGACACTGACTCTTCAAGTCGCTCATCCGATGATGATAGTGAGAATGAGAAGGTGGCCGCTATTGTGATTGACTCTTCATCATCTTCACCGACACCACCGCCATCATCCTCTACACACCTATGCCTTATGGCCAAGGGTTAACGAAAGGTATCAAATGATGATGATAGTAGTGTTGATGATCATGCTAACAATGATGATAGTGATAGTGATAGTGATAGATGATGAATTTGAATCACCTTCATATGATGATCTTGTTAAATTGCTAAATCAATACACTAAGATCATTAGAAAGTCAAGAGCTAAGAATGAAAAGCTAGAAATTAAGAATGACTCTCTTTTAGCTAAATGTGACATAGCGAAAAAGGCTAGTGTTGAGCTTAGAGAAGCAAATGAAGCTATGTCATCCAAATTCAAAGAGCCCAAATCTTGTAAGAAAGAGCTTAAAGAAAAACATGATAAACTTGAGGGGATACACAATGAGCTCATCACTAGCTACAATATGCTAAAAGAAGAGTATACCAACCTTAAGATTAATCATGATAATCTTGTTATCTCTCCAGAGTTTTTATCCAATGAGCCACATGATGGTACTAACGATGTTGTTAAGATTGATATAGCTACATCATGTGATGATTTGATTATTGAGAGCATTGAGTAAGATTCTAGTAGCAAAGGCAAGCAAGTGGTTGAGTCCGATAACTATGATGAATATGTCAAGATCATGAATGAGAATGAGAAGCTTAAGAAAGATCTTGAAGAACTATCAACCACCAACACTATTGTGTTAGAGAATCTTGATCATGATTATGATGTAGTGCTCAAGGAAGAAAACAAGAAACTCAAAGAAGAGAACAAGAAACTAAAGATGGAGAAAAATCATGATGAGCTAAAAGAAGAGAACAAAAAGCTCAAGTTGGAGAAAGAACGTCTCAAGATTGGCTTGAGCAAGTTCACAAGAGGCAAGCATCTCCAAAGTGAGCTACTAATGAACACCGTCATGAAGATGGATAGAAGTGGAATTGGATATTTGGCAAATCAAGAGAAGAAGGCTCAAGCTCAACACCACCACCAACAAAAGTCAAAGCCAAAGCCAAATAGGTGTTTTGAGTGTGGAAAAGAAGGTTACTTTGCCCATGAGTGTCAAACTCCACCACCACAACCCTTGCTCAAGCATGCTAGACCTTTTGCTTTCAATGCTCATTACATGCTTAGAAAGGATTCTAGTGGTAAAATAAAAGTCATGTTCTTAGGACCTCCCAACAAGAATAGACCTAAGAAAATTTAGGTTGCAAAGTCACTTATTGAGAAAGTCAAGGGCCCTCAACAAGTTTGGGTCCCTAAAGCTTGATCTCTTATGTGTAGGTGAACTACAAGACCGGTGGAAGTCATTAGATAATTGATAGTGGTTGCACACAACATATGACCGGTGATCCCCGTATGTTCACCTCAATAGATGAAGAAGTAGATGGTCAAGAAAGAATTACACTTAGAGATAATTCAAAGGACAAAGTCAAAGGATTGGACAAAGTGGTAATATCAAATGATCACTCTTTCAAATGTGCTATATGTTGCTTCCTTGAGTTTCAACTTGCTATCCATTGGACAATTGTGTGATCTTGGCTTTCAATGCTTGTTTACTGAGAAGAAAGTTGTTGTATCTAAGAAGGATGATGATCAAATGATATTCAAAGGATTTAGATACAACAATCTATATCTAGTGGATTTCACCTTCGAAGATGCTAACTTGAAGACATGCCTATTCACCAAAACATTACTTGGGTGGCTATGGCATAGAAGACTTGCCCATATTGGGATGAGCTCACTCAAGAAGCTTATGGAGAATGAATTGGTGAGAGGGTTGAAGGATGTGAAATTTGAGGACAAGCTTTGTAGTGCATGTCAAGTCGACAAGCAAGTTGCAAACACTCATCCTACAAAAGCTTTCATGTCAACTACAAGAGTGCTAGAGCTCCTTCACATGGACTTATTTGGACCAACAACTTACAAGAGTTTAGGAGAAA